AGTAAAGTGTCTTGCCCAAGAACACAACACAATGTCCCCGGCCAGGGTTCGAACCCGGACCGCTCGATCCAGAGACAAGCGCACTAACCATGAGGCCACCGTGCCTCCCTTACTTTCTCCCAGCTTATATGTTATTATTTGTTTGAATTGACCTACACACTGTATATAATCCTCAAGGTTGGCATGTGAAGGCAACATAGCTGTATTCAACAAAGTTGTAGAGACAATTTATACTGACTATGGAGGAAAACAGCAGTGCCTAGGCTCTGTTGAACAGTTAAGAGGTATGTGCAAGTTCTGATCCCATTTTGTATTCATCCCAGCAGCAGTTTAAAAATATGACAGTGCAACCACATTTATTTTTTAAACACAAACATAAGGGGGTGGACCATTAGACTTTTGAGGGGGAGGGAGTGGGGTGGGTGATTTCGAAAAAGAATATCCTGTAAGAATACTTGTACCAAAAAAAAATCATGTAAATGATCACTGCTGAAAAAAAATTTCACACATGTTCAGTGAGCCAAAAAAAGCATGTTACACTGGAAAAAATATCATGCATACACATGCCCTGAGGAAAAAATTCCTAGTGGATGACATTGCTGAAAAAAATGCCTATGTTAAATCACCCACCAACCCCCCCCCCCCCCTACCCCCTAAAGAGTCTCATACAGTGAAACCTCTTCTAAATGGACACCCTTGGGAACTTCCCAAGTCTCCGCTTAATAGAGGGCATCCAACTTTAATTTGTTTGAAATGCATGTAATGCCCTTTCAATACAGCAATGATAATACGGGTATTTAATCGACTATTTGATAGGACGTAATCCAATGCCACATTGTCAATTCAGTCTGGTTTCTGCTTAATAGAGTTTTTTTAACAACAGAAATTAGCCAAATACAATTTATTTTAGTGTCCGCGTCCACTTAATAGAGGTGTCCGCTGAATAGGGGTTTGTTATAAAGGGAAATATAAGACGTTTATTTCAGGACCAGGCTGCCGTAAGTGTCTGCTTAATTGGGGGTCTGCTTAGTAGAAGTTTCACTGTATTATTGTCTAACCCTAAATGTAGTCCCTTTACAAGATTTTACCGAGCTCCATGAAGATGTCCTCATAAAGACCCATAAAGCTCCGTAGATACAGGTTCTATGGCATCTTTATGGTGGCTATAATTATGGAACAGTAAAGTTCCTAACCTGTGCTTTGATTTGATGTTTTAATTATTACAACGCCAGTGCAGACAAGTTGTGCAGCATTGTTTCTCATATCATAGGCTTGTATGGAAACTTTGTATCTTCTATTGACTTGAAGAGTAAGCCCGGTCAATGTTTGCTGCAAGTTGTTGTTAGGAAATGTGCCGCTCACTGTAGAGGTAGTGGAACAGGTGGATGTTGACGGCAGAAGAAACCATTTAAGGGTTAACTGGCCACATGAGACACAAAAGCCGGAAATTTTGAGGTAAAGTTTGTCTGTAAAATACTGATAGCTCACGACTGACTTAAATTTGTGATCCATTAATTGGACAGTGCCAGTTGTAAGGGTAATCTTGTCTTTCACCGCATGGGGACATGTTCCAAGGCTTCCGTCACACCTGTAAATAATGAGCCCAATACATTTTAAGTTTAACCAGTGTTTTTTTATATAGTGATGTTCATAGTATTTGGGAGCGTGACTTAATGATCATATTGAATCTTGGAAATTTTAAAAATTCTAACGCACTGATAATCCCATGCTTTGTATTTCTATTATTGCTTCATTACAACTATGTGATGACGAGTCAAGAACTTGTCGAAATGCCATTTTCATCAAAATGTGGATACAAAAAGGCGTTTCTTTTGTTTTTAACAATTCAGGACAGTGACAATAAAGTCAAGATCAAACTGTATATATATGTAGACTAACGTTACCCACCTTTCGGGTTGATCACAGACATCCACAGCCGGGCGACAAATTGTTCCACGTGACCTCATGATCACTCGACAAGTTCCATCACCAACACACTCAGAAGTCCTCTTACAACTTGATGAAGGATAAGATGATTGACAAGAGTAGCCTTTTCCTACACATCTGTCAATTTAGAAGGATATGGTTGATTAAAATCTTGGATTAGGCTTGTACAGTGTTCAGCTACAGTATTGGAACCAATATAATAAGAGTTACATGTATGCATATCTTGGTACAGGTGAAGCAGCAAGGAGGAGATAGAATTGTGTAACGTGTTTTACTATGTTCTTCCAACCAGCTTTCATCTTGTTTAGACAACGTTGCCAACATTCCAGAGCGAAAGTTTAATTTTCATAACCAGCTAACCTACTAAATACTAGTGTGGTTCTGACAATAAATAGCTCTCCTTTTGAACTTGGTCATCTGGTGTGGTTGTTAGCTCTTGAAATGTGAGGTGCTTTGTGACAGCAATAAAGCAATATTGGTAACTAAGAAAATACTGTTTTGTGTGGTAAACAAAAAAATCAAGAGTAAAGCAAAATCAAATTGAGAAATACAAACATAAACAAAACAAAATAAGGTCATACTGTGCTTAGTTTTAAACAGATTCACTGATATCTATGTCAACTTGATGGACATTATCTGTACCCTGAGACTCAAGAAATAATATTCACAGACAAGGAGTAATGTTTGTAGTTTGTTTACAAATGAGCTACATGTATGAACTACCCAGGGAAATTTACCTTGCCTAACATAAAGAAACTGTTTGTTTCTTTTGTAATCACATTATTTACCTGCCAGCATTACATGTATCCTGTTTGGTGCACTTGTCTTGATCGTCACACGCCCCTCCAGGACAATTACTCCATGTGCTCTTACCACGAGCTGCTGCATCATACAAATCACACCACTGGCACTGGTTTGATGGGTTCAATGCTTTATGACTATAGTCCTGACCTAAAGAGCAAAATTAATCATTGGTTATTATTTGTTTTGAGCTACATGTATGTATTGATATATCGATTCTCTGTACCTAATACCTACAGCAGTTAAAACTATATATCTGATCCCTATTCTCCAATGAAAATATGCTGCGAGCACTTGTGAGGATTCGGATAACTTTTGTTGTTTAGCACTTGTGGTGAGTGGAGTAACAGGAGTGCCAAACTCATTTGCGGGCTTCCTTCTTGCATTCAAGTCCAAGATGGTGAAAGTTCAAATTGTCAAAGCCTTGGGAGGCTGCTACAAGACTCCTAAACATGTATGGTTGAATGAATGAGTTATGTCATTGCGTTATAGAGTTCTTAGTCAACCTCTGTGTTGAGGTATACATAATAGTTGTAGTCATACTCGTAAAAAGCGAGTTTTACATCAGTATTTTGCCTACTGGACAGGCCATTAAGTAACTCTTTACACCACACCCACCTGCTATCTTACATGTGCACGTGTTGTTCACAAATCCATATCCTGCTTTCAGACTGCAGCCATTTCCATTACAGTAGTGACACACAGAGTTACAAGTGAAGGGTGTTGCTACACACTGGCCACTCTTACATGTGTCTCCACGTGTGCATTTGTTGTCATCATCACACGCTACACCATCAAGATTTGACCATGTGCTGCTGCTGTTACATGGATAACACCACTGAAAGAGAAAGAAAGGATATACCAAAGAGACAAGATTAAAGCATTGCTGGATCTTCCTTGAAACATTGTCTTTTAATAGACTTCAGTTCACAGATGCAATACCACATGACAACTTTTAACTCATTTTAACTCTTTGTCATTTTAAAAAGATCCAAGTAAATGTAATTAGGCAAATGAATGCTCTGCTCTAATCATCTCATATCTAACAAGCATGAGTGGAATAATTGTTCTATTAAAAATGCCCACAAAAATAGAAAACTAAAATAAAATGAAAACAAAAACGCCCCCAAAAATTATGCGTAAACTTACCATCTAGCATGGTATAATTTCTCAGATGGGTAAGCCAATGAAAACTCTTGAATTGCATTGTCCAATGATCCAGTTTTTAATAATACAATTGTACGTTTTGTAAAATGGCATTAGTGGAGCTGCACTTGTTAGAGCAAGCTATCCATTGAAGTTAATTGCAAAGTTGGCTTTTGCTGTCATTTCTCATCAAACAACAAAACTACTAACCACAGGTTTTCAATCTTCAATTATAATTTACTTTGTGACTGATTTTGCTGTAAAACTGAGTTAGAAAGCTAAATCCTCCCACTGGTCCTTACTACATCATCTAAAATTCTTCAGGAGAGAACAAGACCTGTTTTCTCTGACAATCAACTTCTTCATTCTCATAACTTTCCTTCTCAGAGATTTTATCAACAGATTGAGAAATTATTAAGCTGATCACTACTGTGTATGCAATAGTAAATGGCTATTTTACCTGGCAAGGATAGCCAGGTCGGTAGGCTCCTCCATTGACACATTTTCGTGTTCCACCATCGCTGATAGCGCAAAATCCTGGTTTCGCATGGCATGTGTCTTTGTAACACTCTTCACATAGAAGGCACGTGAATGGTGTTCCGGAGCAGACACCATTTGAACACCGGTCATTTTTAGTGCACGCCTTATTATCACTGCACGACAAAGCATTGTTGTTTGTCCAGGCTAGGTTATTGGCACTATTACAATCCTGTTGAATAGCAATATTATTAAATTTATGCAATCACAAAATTCCTCTAACGTGCTTGAAAGTACAGCAGTTAATAAAAACATTGCCATGCATAACACTGTCTTTTGTCCCTAAACGGGTGCTTTCTTTTGTTTGCGTGCTTATTTCGCGTTGGGTCGACCACTTTATTTATTGATGTCATAATACATGACTGTGTAATCTCACTGACATATTTGATGGAATCTCACTTGTGGTAATACTCTTTTTTTATTGAACTTCCTTTTGTAATTTCTATTACTCTAATCAGATTCATCCATGAGCTGCAATCTTGGACAGAATGAAATAAGAAATAAAACCACCCTTTCCCTGGATGAATGATAAACTGGCACTACAACCAGAACGAGTCATTTTTTTATCATTGAAATGGGGGAGGAGTGTTGTTAATTTTTCATTCATTTTGTCCAAGATTGCGGCTCTAAGGGGCCTTTGATTATTATGTAGTATTTTGTAAAATGGTATTTGTGGAGCTTGCACTTGTCAGAGCAAGCTATTCATTGAAGCTAGTCCCAGAGGTGGCTTTTGCTTACAGTCCTCAGCAAACAACAGAACTACTAAACCAGGTTTTCCATCTACAGTTGAACCTCTTTAACTTTTAAGCAGCCACCCCTTATTAAGCGGCCAGTTATTGAAGTCCTGAAATTATTGTAGGTAAAATATTGTAAATAAATTCCCTATTAACCAGCCACCTCTACTAAGTGGCCGCGGCCACCTTTTGTTCATCCAGATGAGGGATTTCCTATTGTTTTTACCCCTATAAAACGGCCACCCAAAATTTAATGTGTGTAAATTAATTTTGTTTTAGAAAATTCCAAACTAGAAGGTGACTAGTGATGAAAACATTTGAACACACATTTATCATGATTGTTTTGAAGTGACTCCAGCTCACCAAGAAATTAACGTGATGGTGAAAATATTCCAGGTAAACAAACCCCTATTAAGCGGCCACCTCTCATTTCCCCAAGGATGGCTGCTTAATAGGGGTTCAAATGTATGATTATAATTTACTTTGTGACTGGTTTTGCTATAAAACTGAGTGAGGAAAGCTAAATCCTCCCAATAGCCCTTCTTACCTTGTCTAAAATTATCTAGGAGAGAACAAGACTTCCCTTCTCTGATAACAAAATTTTTCCTTCCCATTACCTTCCTTTGCAAAGATGATTTATCAACAGAGAAACTACAAGCTGATCACTACTAGTGTTTGATTACTATTGATCATACAGAGCTATCAATACTGTGTTACTACTGTAGTAGCTGATCACTACTGTGTTTTACCTGGCAAGGATAGCCGGGTCGGACAGCTCCGTGCTTAAAACATTTTCGTGTTCCACCATCGTTGATCACGCAGAATCCTGCTTTCACGCGGCACGCATCGTTGTAACACTCTTCACACACAAGGCATGTGAATGGCGTTCCAGAGCAGGCACCATTTGAACACCGATCATTTTTAGTGCAAGCCACATTATCATTGCACCTCAAAGCATTGTTGTTTGTCCAGGCTAGCTTGTTGGCACTGTTACAATCCTGTTGAACAGCAATATACCATTCAGGCAACATTATTTTTTTTTAAACGACTCATCATTCTTCTCTTCACCCTAGGGGTGCTACCTGCATTTTGCATGTATCCTTTGCTATCGTTCTTCTACCATTCTTAATGGGTTTAATGTTTGCCTTTCTTTTCTTACCCTTTGACTCAGGGCTGCAAAGGGTTTTCTTATTTCTCTTGGCTTCTGCCACCTTGGGGATCTCGCTTTTCTCCTTTTTGTTTTCCGCCTCTCGCACAGTTCCTGCCTACTTTACTCCCGTAACTGAACTCTTTTTCATCAATTATTTCAATGCTTATATATGGTTTATATTATATCTGACTTAGCCCACTTGGCTTGTTATTTACAGCCATGTGAGCTTAGATAACTAAGGTATTAAGCGATATTCTACCCTATTTTGTAGGATTAGTCTTAAATATTTGCTCTCATCTTACCTGACACTGATTGCTGGGATTCACTGAACCATATGAGTAACACTGATTGTTGATTTTACACTGCCTTAGGTAACACTTGAGTCCAACTTTGGTGTAGCAGGAATGACAGCGGCAAGTGAAACTACCATGTGTGTTCGTACAGGTGTGCTGGCATGGGTTTTTCAGACATTCGTTCACATCTGTAAGGAAGAAAAACTAGTTCTGTGAAGATCCATGTATATGGATGGCACATTCTTTCATAATGGATCAACTCAGTCTTTTTCCCTAGAGTACAAAGAAGCAAGTCTGCTTGCAGGATATCATCAACTTTAAAACCTGCCTCTTCCAGGTGAACCCATGGTAGCTTTAATGAAACTAAAGTGATCTAGCACATGATCTGATTTAAGAAATGGAAAAGTTCCTCTAAATTACTTCAAAATACCACAGTTCAAAGTAAACATTGTCATGCATTACACCATCCTTTTTCCCTACTCAGGTGCTTTCCTTTGTTTGCATGTTTATTTGGTGTCAGGTTGTCTTTGGCTTCAGTAAATAATCTCAGTTTTGGTATATAGGTCATTATTTATTGCTGTCATAATGCATGTGTAACATCACTCACATAATATTTTGATGTAATTTTAATCGTGGTCACTCATGGTCACTTTCATTGTTTATTGTTTTTTGGTAAATGGTGTCACATTCTAGGAGAGTAATAATAATTGCCAGGAGCCCTTTTCTAGGCTGAACATGTCACCTGATATCATACGCAGTTTCTTTTTCAGAAATATAAGTTTAGATAATATACTATTAGGTCTGAGTGAGTCTACTTAGCACTGTGGTTAGCCTGAATAGCACTCTGGTTTTCCTAAATTAGCTTAGGTTGCTCATTGTAAGCCTAACAGCTGCGTCGGGTCTTTTCAACCTGCAACTTGCAACCTACAGAATAATAAATTACGTCTGGTGTCTACTCTAGGGTCTCAATTACCAGCCAGCCTGGGGCATTTCCCCAGGAAATTTTTAAAAGTTCAGGGTGGTAGCATTGAAGAGGAAAATATAAAATTAGTTGATTAATCAATCAATTAAGTAATTAACAATTTATTGTTATTGTATTAAATAATTATTGCCCAGTCATTTCTAATACACTTATCCCATGTGCAGATTTTAAAAGTGGAAGGGTTTAACTTAGTTTAACTTTAACTTTGCTGTCAGTAGTCTTAGATGTGGACCCCCGGCATGGGCTCCTGCTAATGGTACTCCACAAAGAATGACAAAACTTCCATGTTTTTCTTAAGTTAAACTGATTGATATACATAGAAATACACTTTCTTGTTCTCCTGTACCCGTTTGATACTTTACTTGACACTCTTTTGCTCACGAGAGACTTTTCGTGTCCAATATGTACATAATGCTCTAGGGCTCTTTAAGGGGGGGG